GGGTCGCGACCAATTCGGGTCACGACCAGAGTCGTGGAACGAATTAAGTTCGTGAACCGAGGTACCACTGTATTGTCTCTTCTCGTGTTCCTGTTAGTTTTTACAGACAGAAATCTTGTAATCAGAAAAAGCAGGAGAAATATGGAGACATAGGATACTCTTATGTATCAAGCTGGTTATAAAGCATGACAGGATTCTCCCAAAATACATCTTATTTGATATTTTAATAACTAAGGAGTAAAGTAGCATTTCCCAAATTAGTGACCTTGAGATGTCTTTTGTCTTCTCATGCTGGATACAGATGATGATAATTCTAACTCAGCTTTTTGGAAAGCACCGGGATGGGAGGACTGTACTGTGGTTAACTGCTCTAAAAGCTGGTTTTTATTTTGTGAAGAAAGCTATCCCATCTTCTACTCTATGGAATTTCATTTAAATTGTAAAACAGCTTTAGATTTGGATGGATTTTTCTGAATTATTGCCCAGTGTGGATCTGTGCATATATTATGTTAATATTTTCCTTTATTCAAGACAGCTTGATCGGATGAAAAAATTATACCTGGCAAGCAATGGAGATTATTACCTGACCTTTGAGGTTCTATTCAAACTCAACCTGGTGGATGGTGATCAATGGAACGTGTATAATTTAAAGCGCATCCAGTCTGAAGTAGTGAAACCTTTGCTTCTTTACTGGTAAAAGGATGAAATATGGGTACATTTAATTAAATTTGGTTTCTTTTTCAACACTGGAGCTGTTGTGATTGGATGGAGTAGGGGTTGAAATTATACTCTGCAAACCATTTGCATTTGATTTCCTAAATGGACCACTTAATCTTGGCAGAAGAGGATAATAATTTATTTATGATGAGATCAAGAATTTATTCATGATGGTGGAGACTAAACTGATAGAAGGAAAATGATTGAGGCAAAACCAATGAGGGGCAGGTATAATTTAATTAAACATTCCTAAAGACATTGTGTATATGATCACACAAAAACATAAGGATTGAAAGAAATTTGTCTGAACCTGAGGACCTGTTTATAGCAGTATTGAGTTCTGGCTTCCCTTCTGAAAGTAGATCATGAAATTAAATCACCTGCATGAATTACATGTTTGGATCTCATAATGCGCTTATTTCATTTTAATGAATGCATTTGTTCATTCAGCTAATGCAAATGCAGTTACTCAGTTGGGAACAGGATGAGTTTGCCCAAGTGTATTTTTTGCACCAACATTTTCCAAGTCTAATTCAAGGTATTGCTTTTGATATATAGAGTGATCAGCCCAGTGAGGGCAGACTTCAGGCTTAGAGCATCTAATTTGCTTCTTACTAGAATCCTGTAGTTAATTAATTAGAGCTGGATGCAAAATAAAGCCATGAATCAGATTCAATTTCCTACTGCATCCTAAGAGCCATAAACTGGGATGATCTCCGTATAGAAATATAAATTTATATCTGAGTTAATGTAGATCAGGGATTCTAGAAGCCTATTTGGGGGAGACTGGAGTATTTCATTGCTTGGCAATTGGGAATCAAAATCCCTTATTGAACTATTACAAATCTAGAGAAGAGGGAGCAATCTTGTTCAGTCTAGGAACGATGCTTGGTCTTTGTGCCCTATATGAGGCTATAGGGGTGTTGCTGGGGTTGGAATGATGACCCAGACTAAGGTGGGCTGAAATTTTCAGACTTTCTTTTGTACATTTTGGGTGGTGGAGTTTTAAGGAGTAAACTTTGAAACCTTTCCAAAGTTTAAACCACCTGTTCTACCATTTAACTTCCAACCTCAAAATGCCCCCATCCCCATAAAAAAAGAGTTCCAAAAGTTTCATCTTTGTCTGTGGCTCTAGGGGCCAGAGCCACAGATCACAAACTACCCTCTCGTGATCTAGGGATATGTCCATAGTTCCTTTCTTTTCATGGGCGTTAGATAAAATACAGTATATAAGAATGATGAAAATAGTTTTCACTCGATAGATTGAAGGTCCCAATTCTTAGAATTCAAAGATTTAAAATGTAAATCTTAAAGAAAAGAGGAATGACAGACTTTAGTGACTAGAAGTCTCCTTTGATGTTTCCCACATTTCCTAGGGGATTCAACTCTAAAAATATCAGTAGAATCCCTCCAGATCCCCCCAATATTCTGAGGAGCCCCCCTTTATGGAATAAAACGGTTTCCACTTGATCTGAGGAAATTCCATTTGCTCAGAGGCCGAATCTGCCCCTCAGGCTGTCGGTAATGCTTCAATATCATGTCTGCATTTCACAGTCATGTCTTCAGTCTGCTATGTCCTTTCCCAGAAGTGTGGTATGAAACTAAAATGAAAAAAGAAAAATAAATTAAAAGAAAGATAATATGCCAGAAATGTGATATGATAAGTGAAACAACTCCAAATAATTTGATCAAGTTACTTGTAAGTCTTTTTGTTTCTGGATGAAGAAAGACTAAATTCAGATGTTGACCCAGTATACCTATCAACCATCCATAGGCTGAGCCATTTCTACAAGTAATTCCTGATTATCTTCTGAATGCCCTTGCCTTAAATGGCCTGACTCTAACAGGGATATTTCTTCTTGTTTGAACACTTTTCCACCCAAGAGTCCCAGGCTTTGCCCATCTTCTGTTAAGGCTCTACTAGAAAGCTATTTTAGGTGAAGTCTAAAGCCTGGTATAGTTTATTTTGTGAGTGTTAGAATGTTGGCTTTTTGGGAAAAGCCTCTGTGTGCTTTACATTTTCACAGAATAATTCTGTCAGTTCTGTTACATGCCCTATTTTTTCTTCTCTTTATTATTTAGCATGTTTTATTTCTTAACTGTTTTCTGCTGTGCAGGTGAACTGTTGATGTATGTTAACTTCAAGTTAACTGAAATTTATATTGAAAAACAATCTATGAAAATCTTTGAAGGAAATCATAATAATTAAAAGGGCTCAAGGATCACTCCTATGACAAACTATCAAGATAATGTCACCACCTAATCCTAATGGAATACTTCCTATATAATTTTCTGTTAGAACTTCTAATCTGAACACATTTAGCTATGGTGAAAACAGTAGCCTCACAAGAAAAAGAAGGGAATTAGTTTTACTTAATTAAGTTACAATTTCCATTGTTCAGTCTTTTGGAGATCATTGTTTTTGTTTTTTTAAGCCCCCAAACACAAGATCCATTCATAACCACTCTTTTTCTTCTCAGGGGTCCCCGATTTTGTGTAACTCATAAAGCTGCCATTCAGGCCACAGTTACCAAACTGAAAATCTGGCATGCTCGGCAACAGAAACCACGACTGGACGTGGATCCTTTCCCACAGATGGTGTCGCTGCTGCCACTGAGGGCGAAATCCTGCATGCCAAAAGTAGCATCTCCATATTATCAGGTATTGTTTGCTACATTATAGCTTGGCAAAGTAAGAGGGTCTATCTTACCAATATAAGTAGCATTGAAGGAAAAACTGTGTGATGGAAAGGTTAGGCTGGCGAGTGACAGTACAATCATAATCAGCATATACTGTATTTTGGTCTGTTTAGCTATATAATATAGTGTAGGAATTGAGCATGAAACTGAGCAAACTCAGGGAGGCAGTGAAAGACAGGAAGGCCTGGTGCGATATGGTTCATGGGGTCAC